TACACTCACACACTTGTTCCACTCCACTTATCTCCAGTGGTGGTGGGGTAGCCTAGTGGTTAAAGTGTTGGCTCGTCACGCCGAAGACCCGGGTTCGAATCCCTACATGGGTACAATGTGTGAAGCCCATTTCTGGTGTTCCCCACCGTGATGTTACTGGAATATTGCTAAAAGCGGCGTAAAACCAAACTCAGCAACTCCATTCCACTCCACTTAGCCACCCATTCACTCACTCACTCACTCACTAACAACTCACTCACTCAGCTCAGCTCAGCTGAGCTCAGCTCACTCACCCCGCTCCACTCCACCCTGCTCACTCACTCACTCACTCACTCAGTCACTCACTCACTAACAACTCACTCACTCAGCTCAACTCAGCTCAGCTCAGCTCATTCACATCCACCCACACATGAACATTTCCTTGCCCTTTGATGTAGAAAGAGTATTAGAACTGTGTCCGACCATCTACAAGGTGCTTGTTTTAGCTGCTGTAGGTGGTATTAATAATCAAGTCTACATCACTGCATATATACCCTGCACTTGTTTTAAGACTCTACTCAGCCTTGTTTCCCAACAAGAAGCCAGTATCCTTGTCAGAAACAGCTTGATGATTTGTTCACAAACAAGGTCAGCTGTCGACATTTTCTGGTAGAATGGCACTTCCCCAAGCAGTCTTATCTGATTCCTTCCTTCATTGCAGTCCGTCAGAACAAACCAGAGCTTTATAATTCATCAAACTGCATGTTACAAGATTGTGTTGAATAAATCAGATTTATGGGAGGTTATACTTTTGAAACATGTTTCGGACATGAGATATGGAATACTTCCTAATGTAAATAACACTTAGGTCAGCTGTCAGAATGTTTTTGAACGGTATATTTGTTGTTTGGGCAACCTGGGGCTGCCTGCCAAGTCTCATTTGATGACATATATTCCTGTATAGACTGATTAAGAATATGTTACAGTTATTTTGGTGATTTGTTTTCATATTTTGGGGTATTAAAGAAAAGATATATATAATAAACTTTGAAATTTGCCATAATAGTTGTCTAAAGGACCCTCATTTTAACCTGATGTTTATGTTAAATTCAGGTTTGATACACTTGTCCAGTGGGTTTGTGTAGGTCCTTCATAAATGTTTGACTTGTGTTCCAATTGAGTTCAGTAGGTCCCACATTAATGTTTGACTTGTGTTCCAATGGAGTTCAGTTGGTCTCACATAAATGTTTGACTTGTGTTCCCATGGAGTTCAGAAGGTCTCACATAAATGTTTGACTTGTGTTCCAATGGAGTTCAGTAGGTCTCTCATAAATGTCTGACTTGTGTTTTGACAAGCTACCATGGGTTATTGAGGACCGTCAGTGACCAAACTACCAGTTTTTATGAAATGACTTTAACAGAACAGTGTAGGGAAACCTGGACATGCAGGTGAGAGAATGATGGTCTCACAGCTTCCATGTGGTGAGAGAATGATGGTCTCACAGTTCCCATCAGGTAAGAGAATGATGGTCTCACAGTTCCCATCAGGTGAGAGAATGATGGTCTCACAGTTCCCATGAGGTGAGAGAATCATGGTCTCAGAGTTCCCATCAGTGAGAGAATCATGGTCTCACAGCTCCCATCAGGTGAGATAACCATGGTCTCACAGCTCCCATCAGGTGAGAGAATCATGGTCTCACAGCTCCCATCAGGTGAGATAACCATGGTCTCACAGCTCCCATCAGGTGAGAGAACCATGGTCTCACAGCTCCCATCAGGTGAGAGAATCATGGTCTCATAGTTCCAATCAGGTGAGAGAATGATGGTCTCACAGTTCCCATCAGGTGAGAGAATGATGGTCTCACAGTTCCCATCAGTGAGAGAATCATGGTCTCACAGCTCCCATCAGGTGAGATAACCATGGTCTCACAGCTCCCATCAGGTGAGAGAATCATGGTCTCACAGTTCCCATCAGGTGAGATAACCATGGTCTCACAGCTCCCATCAGTGAGAGAATCATGGTCTCACAGTTCCCATCAGGTGAGAGAATCATGGTGTCAGAATTCCCATCAGGTGAGAGAATCATGGTCTCACAGCTCCCATCAGGTGAGAGAATGATGGTCTCACAGCTCCCATCAGGTGAGAGAATCATGCTCTCACAGTTTCCCTCAGGTGAGAGAATCATGGTCTCACAGCTCCCATCAGGTAAGAGAATGATGGTCTCACAGTTCCCATCAGGTGAGAGAATCATGGTCTCACAGCTCCCATCAGGTGAGAGAATCATGGTCTCACAGTTCCCATCAGGTGAGAGAATGATGGTCTCACAGTTCCCATCAGGTGAGAGAATCATGGTCTCACAGCTCCCATCAGGTGAGAGAATGATGGTCTCACAGTTCCCATCAGGTGAGAGAATCATGGTCTCACAGCTCCCATCAGGTGAGAGAATGATGGTCTCACAGCTCCCATCAGGTGAGAGAATCATGGTCTCACAGCTCGAATCAGGTGAGAGAATCATGGTCTCACAGTTCCCATCAGGTGAGAGAATCATGGTCTCACAGCTCCCATCAGGTGAGAGAATCATGGTCTCACAGCTCCCATCAGGTGAGAGAATGATGGTCTCACAGCTCCCATCAGGTGAGAGAATCATGGTCTCACAGCTCCCATCAGGTGAGAGAATGATGGTCTCACAGCTCCCATCAGGTGAGAGAATCATGGTCTCACAGCTCGAATCAGGTGAGAGAATCATAGTCTCACAGTTCCCATCAGGTGAGAGAATCATGGTCTCACAGCTCCCATCAGGTGAGAGAATGATGGTCTCACAGCTCCCATCAGGTGAGAGAATCATGGTCTCACAGCTCGAATCAGGTGAGAGAATCATGGTCTCACAGTTCCCATCAGGTGAGAGAATCATGGTCTCACAGCTCGAATCAGGTGAGAGAATCATGGTCTCACAGTTCCCATCAGGCGAGAATGTTATTAGAGGGAGCTCAAGACATTAGTGTTAAGAAACCGCTAAATGATTCCAAGATATCCAGATATTCTCATGCTTGATGTGTAATAGCTATCAGATATAAGCACTGCTAATCTGCACTGTCTGACCTCTCTACTTGGGCTTATTATGGATGGATTATCAACATTGCTTGCATACCACTAGGCTACCCCACCGTCCCGGATAATTGGGATGTTCAAGCTGCAGATTAGGATCAACTTTGATCAGCGTTTGATCACTTACTGTATCGTCACATCCAGGTGACATTTCCTACAGTTGATGTACATCAAAATACAGCATCAATGTAAGGGATTACTTCATAATCAGATTTGTAAGACAACCTGAAAGTTAAAATGAAAGATAGTTTCAGAAATTTGGTGGAGTACACGACATAACTGTGTCCGAGCTTCACTGTCTGCAGCCTTTGAACCCGTTACATTCCTACTGAACATGCATGTTGTGTTGATCATGGTAGCCAATACATTTGTAAAACATGTGCTCAGAATTAATGCCTGGTGTATGATTTCATTTATATCTGCAGATGTGATGTTATATCTGTGTTTTAAGGAGTTGATCAACATATGATCTTTCACAGTAAAACAATACAATGGTTTATAACAAATGTGGAACTGCGGAGGGTTTTCAAGCATGTCACAGGGCATTCATAGAAATGTTTAGGTGTGCTCTTTGGTAATAAAGCGATAGAATAAGTAAAACTTGCCATTAATCTCAAGGAATTCATCGAGATTATACCTAAATTTATAATTGTGTATCAATTTTCACATGTTAATCATTTTCAAAGTGTTTGTCATGTGTGTTTGTGTTTTTTACATTATAAACATTTCCTCAAGGTTTGTTTGTTGAAATAGAAAGTCTAAGAGTGCCTTCCTGGGAATCTTTTTGAACCTTTAACATTGAATTGTTAACGCGCTATTTGTGATCTCCAATCCTGTAAACTATGCTTGTTGAGGATATTTATCATATTTGTAATAATTTACATATATATTTATAATTGATATATAATATCTTCCAGTCATGATCATGACGATGATGGAGGCAGTAATTGTCGCAGTACATATTTGACGGCAGTTTAGTTAATGCAATAACAATATCATTGTTGTCAGATGAGCCATGATATGTAAAGATTCCTGAATTTTGTTAAAAACAAAACCTAAAGCCTGCTTGATTGTGTATAACAATAACTATGGTAAATATGGCAACTGCAAAGGTCCTCATGTCTTGTGGAAGGTAACTTTTCCATATTCAAAATGTTTTTTTCAAGTTTGTGGAGGCTCTTCATGTGATATATCTTATGGTTATTGTGCAGCTTAGAGAGTTAAGATTTTATGTTGCATCAGCTTTATTTCAGGCATATAGCAACTTCTATGGCTTAGAAATGGAATATTTTGAAACATTAAGCAATGGCAGTTTACAGCGATTTGTGTCAGAATCGATGTATTCACTTCAGACAGCCATTCTAGAAAACTGTTTTAATTCGTTACCATCAGCAACATTTAAGTTTCCACTCATTGGGATGTGTAACTAGGTTTCTTTTTCAACAGGGGCGGTGGGGTAGCCTAAGGGTTAAAGCGTTGGCTCGTCACGCCGAAGACCCAGGTTTGAATCCCCACATGGGTACATTGTGTGAAGCCCATTTCTGGTGTCCCCCGCCGTGATGTTGCTGGAATATTGCTAAAAGCGGCGTAAAACCAAACTCAGTCAGTCAGTCAGTCTTTTTCAACAGAATAGCGCTGTTAATGTCATGTACACTCAGTTTTGCATATCTTAGTGTTGCAAGGATCCACACATCAGGAATCCTAGATTCTCTCTGGACCAACATTTTTGGTCTAGTCTCAGCAATGACCTAGGGAGGATGGTGGTTGAACCCCCACCCACATCGTACCAAACGACGTTAGAATATGGTACTTGTTGTTACTGTGCCTGGGACTCTTTAGCAGTAACTGTCAGCTGTGTCACTTGTCTGGACTACTATTCTACTATGAACAACTGAATTTTTTGTGTGTGTTTCCAGAGCGAAGCCTACTGGATTGTCTCCCCTTCCAGTCCCAGTGTCCAGAGGAAGAGGTGGATCTGGTGAAGTTCCTGTATGAGAACAAGCTGAAGAAGGTGAGGATATGGCTGCCTAGTTTCTGTGTGCAAGGGGAAGTCACTGTGTTCGGGAAGCCAGACTGTGTTGTAATACCCACCATCCTAGACAGATTAACTATAACATATGAAAAAATACTTTATAATTTCTCTTTTGTAGCACATATCCTGTTTGTCAGAGGACAATAAAACATCACTTCTAAGCTGTAGTGGAACCCAGCCCGATCCACATGTATGGTGGCTGTTCTCGATACTAGAACTGTTTGAGTGTTCACCTGACTTGGCTGACACATGTCATCGTATCCCATGGCCAATTGCGTAGAATGATGCTCATGATGATGATCACTGGATTGTCTGGTCCAGGCTCGATTATTTACAGACCGCCACCATATAGCTGGAATATTGCTGAGTGCGGTGTAAAACTAAACTCACTCACTCACTCACTCACTCTTATTTAAGAAATGTCCCCCAGTTGTGTGTGTGTGACTCCCTTGAAGACAGAGACGGAGTCGAGATGACTCCCATATTTGGGAGCCATGGGCAATCCCTTACTTAAGTCCTCAGTGTATACAGAAAATATTACACTGACAGCTACATTTATTATGGGGCTGACTTTATTTAGGGGTAGCCTAATGGGTAAAGTGTCCGCATGTCACGCTGAAGCCCCGTGTTAGATTCCTCACATGGGTACAATAGCTGGAATATTGCTGTCTGCGAGATAGGACATGTTCTTGTGTCCTAAATGTTGTGACTTTGATGCCTCTCACCACGATCTGTCTTGTTTCAGTACAACAAGCCGGGCGATATTAACCTACCTTCCTCTCTAGCATGTCTCAACGACAACCTTGACATGGTCGTCAACCTGTCTGAACGCCACTACTACAACTGTGATTTCAGAGAATGTTTCTCAATAACTTCAGAGTAAGTAATAGCAATGAAACTCTGACTGAACTCCACTTTTCCATGATGAATATTAGGGCTGTGCAATATAACCGGTTTACCGGTATTTACTGGTTCTGACATGAAAACGATACATATTGCGATACGCTGATCAAAAAGCGGTATTTCGACTTGCATTCGAAAAACTTCGTAACACTCGAAAATCTTCAGATATTTCCTTGTTTCATTTGTGCCTAATATTATTTAAATTTTTATTTTGTCATGATTAACGGTTGTTGTTAAAGCTTAATCAAGCATAGTTATTTTGTTCTGTTTTTGCTTTATAAATCAAGCATTAACTCGACTATAAGTAGTTTTATGTTTAAAAATACTTCTTGCAATAAATTGCAATTCATATCGCAATATATGCTTTCGCATCGCAATATGAAAATTCTCTGCAATACCCACCCCTAATGAATATTATGAAGCCCTGCTGGGTAATTTAACATTTAAAACTCATCCATTTAACCCCATGATGTTCCTGGAATATTTGCTCAATGGTCTAAAGCGTAGAAACCAAACTAAATATTTCAGTCAGTCAGCCTAATGAATATAATGTGTCTAGCTCAAAGTGCACAGACAATTGCTATCGATCTTGAAGCAGGTATATTTTGGAATGTGCATCCCAACTTTCTTGTGATTGTACATATCCTCATCTGCAACAGCATACTACATAAGATGATAGCCTAACACCCATCTCTGTGTGTTCTACAGGTGGCCTGGTTTGGCTGTAGGCTGGGGAGTATACAACTAAATCTGATTGTGATGCACTACCAGGTGAACAGGCAGATTACCATCTCTTCCTACCTGGTACCCATTTACTGCTGGGAGAACAGAGGCATATAAATGTCACTTGCCGAAGGAGGACTTCTTTCAGAGGCACTTAGAAGTTGGAGCAGTAAGGAAGAATAACAATTTATGGATGAACAACTTCTTTATTGCCTAAGAAGACAACACTGTGCCACACAAAATGTTTCAATGTTGGGCAGGAGTATTCAAGCCACAACATTAAAGCCACAACATTAGATCGAGCATATGGACCTGCGTGGCTGGCGTTCGGACATTCGTTTGAGGCAGACAACGAGCATGATCAAGCCATGGCTGCTTACTTCACTGCCTCTCAGATCATGAAAGGGTGAGCAGAGTTATCTCCCTCTACAGTTTCTCACCCTATTTTTTAAGGTCTCCTGGTGTTAAGATGGCCGTAAGTGCCATACATCAACATTAACTTACGACTGTCTTCGCTCTAAGAGTGAGTGAGTGAGTTTAGTTTTACGCCGCACTCAGCAATATTCCAGCTATATGGCGGCCGTCTGTAAATAATCGAGTCTGGACCAGACAATCCAGTGATCAACAGCATGAGCATCGATCTGCGCAATTGGGAACCGATTACATTTGTCAACCAAGTCAGCGAAACTGACCACCCGATCCCGTTAGTCGCCTCTTACGACAAGATAGTCAGCCTTTGTTATGGGACTGGAACTATAATAATTTAAGCTCTAAGTTTGCTCTGTGGAATATGGCTTGGTAAACATTGATCAATATCAGTCCTTTAGTGAAGTTTAGCTTTCATTTAATTCAGAATTTGTAGGAAAGGTTTAGTCTCAATTTCTGTAGTAATTTTAGTTCTATAGAAGTAAATCCAAAGTCCGAAGTGAAGTTTTGTTCAACAAGAAACAGATATATAGTACAACCAGAAATTATTGAGAATTTAAGATTGTAATTTTTTTTTAAATTTTCACTCATTACTCACGTATTAAATGTGAATATTAGCAGAACATAATTCCAGATTCAAAGACAGGTGGACAGTTAGTATTTTGTCAAGTCACCATGGGCAGCAATGCAGGCTTCAATGCAGCGGGGCATACTACTGATCAAAGAAGTTAGAAAGTCGTGGTCCATGCTGTCCCAATATCGGACCCACCTCTTCTTTCATTTCAGCAATATTTGTCACATTTATCTTATTGACACTTTCCTTCATAAGTCCCCAAACATTTTCTATTGGATTTAGGTCAGGGCTATAGCTTGGCCAATCTAATAATGTCATATTTTGGGTCCGACACCAGGCCTGTGAATGCTTTGAACGATGTTTTGGGTCGTTGTCCTGCTGGAAAATCCAAAAATTTCCATAGAACACGTGAGCAGATGGAAGTAAATGTCCCTCGAGGATATCTGTGTACCGCTCACTGTTCATATTCCCTTCAAATACACACAGGGGCGTTGCCCCAAACACAGATATGCCACCCCACACGTTCAATTTCGGACTGTACTTTGGGCGCTGATACAAAGGTTTTTCAGTTTGTTTGGTCCAGAATTTTAGTGTATTAGGAAACAGCCACACCGAACTTTCATCTGAGAAAATCACATTGTCCCAGTTAAAATTTCTATGCTGTAAGCACCAGTTCAACCTTCGCTCTTTTTGTTCAGGTTTCATGATCGAAGACAGAATTCCTCGACTTTTCTGCCAACCCATTGCATGCAGTTCAGTTCTAATTGTCTCCTTACAGACAGCCACAGTTCCTCTATCAATCATATCCAGCCTTAAGTTTTCTAAACTCCTTCGTTTGTTTTTAGAAACAAGAATACCAAGCCGCCTCCTGTCACCGACAGTCAATTTTCTGGGCCTACCTGCGCCTCCCTGGTGCTCAATGCCATATCCATTTGCAATATTTTTTCAAAACACGATAAACAGTGGAGAAAGGGATGCCTGTTCTACTTGAAATCACTTAAGCTGATCAGATATCCTTGTTATAATACTCTAAAATCAACTTCCTCTTCTCTAAATCACTGAAAATGTCGTCTGCTAGCAAGTAAACAGATGGGGATAACTCTTCACAAACTAATGAAAAAGGATTAACGGAGTTGTCTCTCTTGAATGAAACCAAGCACTTGATAGCTGGTCAAGGTTGTTTATACTAGAAATCCAATTAAACATATTCCTACAATTCTCAATAATTTCTGGTCATACTATAGCTGGAATATTGCTGAGTGTGGTGTTAAACAAGAAATAAAACAAAATGATGATTACACTATTTACATGTCTGTTGCTTGAAGGTGTCACCTGCCAGTGTTGTATATTGGCCTGGAGTACGGACTCACCAACAATGCCAAGCTGGCCGAGAAGTTCTTCAGCCAGGCTCTCAGTATCGCACCCGAGGATCCTTTTGTCCTTCATGAGATGGGCGTCATAGCCTACCAGAACAACGAGTGAGTCAGTTCACACACACATACAGAATGATACCATAGTGCGTGCGTGGTGGGCGAACTGGCTAAGGCGCCAGGCTAGTGATCCAGCGAGCATGAGGTACCGGGATCGAGCCCACCTGTGACCAGGTGTAAAAAACCTTGGAGTCAACTTTGTGTGCAAACTCTTTCAGTGTTGTCACAACCCCTAGTGTACAGTACACAACCCTGTGCACTTGAATGAACCCACGAATCAGTTGGTATATGACCAGATGGTGGCCACATGAATATGTGCAAACACCTAGTTGCGGGTACAGCAACGCGCAGTAAACTTGGACAAAGAACTGTGGCAATGTGTCCCAGTCCACCCAGCTGTGAATGGGTACCTCGTAAGGATGGGAAAGCCGCAAAACTCAGTGCGCCTTGTGGCAGCAAGAGTTGTTTGTTCCCCAGGGACCTAAGATAGATAATAAGATGTGCCGTTGAGATTGAGGGAAAAAATACAAGCGCCTTGAGCATGCACTAGTGGGAGTATATGTGCGCTATATAAATATCAATAATGAATGATAGTACTGTATGCTCATAAAGTCAACAGATTTATCTAGGATTCTTAACTGACAGTCACAGTAGAAAAAAAGTTCTTTTTTGCCCAAAAAATGGCAAGTATTTATATCCTTAATGTCTTAATTCCATGTGTGTGCGTGTGTGCATGTGTGTTAACACATCAATTTCTTGAAGTAAACTTGCAGCTTTCCTAAAACCTAAAATACAGTAATCTACTGTCATGTAGTTATATACTATATACTGACATGCAGTTAACTCCCCTGACATGTGGTTGTCTCCCCTGCAGCCTGGTGGAGGCAGAGCAGTATTTCATGGAGGCGCTGAAGAAGGTGAAGGCCATCAGCAAACAGACCATGGCGGAGAAGTGGGAACCACTCCTCAACAACCTCGGCCATGTCTGCCGCAAGAGGAAGTAGGTCACTCTTCCTTTTTCTCCTCGATGATTCAGTTGATGAAGTTGTCCGTCAGCGTGTCACTAAGATTCATAATGTGCAGCTCTGCACACAGTACTCCTTCGAACACACGACCACCTCCTAAATGTTGTTGTTTTCTTGTCTATTAACAGGAAGTACGAAGACGCCCTAGAATACCACAAGCAAGCAGAGATGATCTGTCCACAGAACCCCTCCACGTACTCAGCCATTGGCTACGTCTACTCCCTCATGGGCGACAACATGAAGGCCGTCGACTGCTTCCACCGCGCACTCGGGATCCGCAGAGACGATGCATTCTCCACCACCATGCTGGGTCATGTGATCGAGGCCCTGATGATGGATATGTCACCGTGTGAAGGTAACTCAGTGTGGCCAATATTGGTTGTGTTCAGTATGTTATGCACAGAAATTTAATATTTGTTGCATGACATTTGTGATTTATATGGCACATTTATAAGACATTGCAGATGATGTTGCTGGTTACTGAGTTAGAGGCAGCCAAGGTTGTTAAAGCGTCTGTAGAAATCATGTTAGTTCCTGAAAACAGTTCAATGACATGGATATGATACTTTTTTTCTTTCATAATAGTGTATGGAAATTAACATAAACACATATTTTTAGCAAATTAAAAAACATTTTGAAGAGTTTGGGCAAAGCAGTGCAAAACAATTTTGATATATATCAACAGTAAAATCAATCATACTTATGCTGCTATTTGATATTTCAACCCAAATGTTACTAACTGGGGTCTCATCTCTATTTAAGCCATCAATAAGTCACTTTATCTTAAAATTGTTTCATTTCAGGTAGTGAAGAGGAAGTGCCAAAGTTTGACAACCCAAAATTCAAACTGGTGGCCACACCTACAGCAATGTCTGTTGCCGAAGACACGTCACCAACTGCCACACCCCCTAACGACAGTCTAGCGGACACCAGCCTAGCAATAGATGAGGTTGAGATGGATGCAAGTGACTGAAAGGAAGGGGACAGTATTTTCATTACCAAGTCTGTGCTGGACTGACAACTTCCCATCAACCACAGCTTGGCATTACCAATATGGACATATGTGGAGGAGGGTGTGTGGTTAGCGGCTGAGATTATTGTTGTGGAGCCGACAGTCAACGGTTGATAGGGAGAACTGTTAACACAGATAAACATTGTCAGTAAACTCAGGTTGTCTTCCAAGTTTCCAGACTAGAAAACCGTGTTGTCAAAGTTGAGGAACTGCCCAAGATGAAAACTGCAATGGTCATGATGAGTGTGACGAGAGGAGTGTGGAGAAAGCATTGGAAACATGAGCAGGGTGTTTCTACACTTTAAGTCACAAACTTGGCCATGAAGAGAATATGATGGAACTTCCAAAGTTTTCAGATATATGTCCATTGGAGAGAGCAAATATACAAGATTACCTACCACATACGTGCAATTTGTTTTTCATGTTATTTCATTTCAAGGACAAGAGTCATCAGAAGATGACATATCCCCCCGGCCCCCACATCTTTGAAAGAACAAATCGTCTGACAGTTACTTAAAATCCAGCTTGATTTTAGACTTAGTGCAAATCGTTTCCATGGAAATCATGAAAAAAATAAATGACAAAAATCTGCAAATAGCAAAAGGCACCACTTTGGGATCTGCCTCACATATCTGCCAAGTTTTGCTGAAAGATATTAAGAAGTTTTCGCGTTGTGCTCCGGAAACAAAACCTACCCCTCCCTTTTGAGACTAAGTCCAAATTGTTTCCATGGAAACTGAGAAAATAATAAATCACAAATATCTGCAAATAGCAAAGGCACCACTTTGGGATCTGCCTCACATATCTGCCAAGTTTTGCTGAAAGATATTAAGAAGTTTTTTCTACAGTTCGAAACAAAACCTACCCTCCCTTTTGAGACTAAGTCCAAATTGTTTCCATGGAAACTGAGAAAATAATAAATCACAAATATCTGCAAATAGCAAAAGGCACCACTTTGGGATCTGCCTCACATATCTGCCAAGTTTTGCTGAAAGATATTAAGAAGTTTTCGCGTTGTGCTCCGGAAACAAAACCTACCCCTCCCTTTTGAGACTAAGTCCAAATTGTTTCCATGGAAACTGAGAAAATAATAAATCACAAATATCTGCAAATAGCAAAAGGCACCACTTTGGCATCTGCCTCACATATCTGCCAAGTTTTGCTGAAAGATATAGAGAGGTTTTTGAGTTGTGCTCCGGAAACAAAGCCCACCCCTCACTTTTGGGATTAAGTCTGAATCGTTTCCATGGAAACCGGGAAAAATAAAAATGCCAAAAATCTGCAAATAGCAAAAGGCACAACTTTAGGATCTGTTTGATATATCGACCAGGTTTTGTTGAAAAATATTATATGGTTTTTGAGTTGTGCTCCGGAAACGAAAGCAATCCTTACTTTTTTAGACTAAGTTCAAAATGTTTCCGGGGAAACCGGTAAAAATAAAAATGCCAAAAATCTGCAAATAGCAAAAGGCACCACTTAAGGTTCTGTTTCATACATCTACCAAGTTTTGTTGAAAAATACTGAACGGTTCTTGAGTTATGCTCCGGAAACGAAGCCCACCCCTCACTTTTGGGACTAAGTCCGAATCGTTTCCATGGAAACCGGGAAAAATTAAAATGCCCAAAATCTGCAAATAGCAAAAGGCACAACTTTAGGATCTGTTTGATATATCTACCAAGTTTTGTTGAAAAATATTGAATGGTTCTTGAGTTGTGCTCCGGAAACGAAAGCAATCCTTACTTTTTGAGACTAAGTTCAAAATGTTTCCATGGAAACCGGAAAAAATAAAAATGCCAAAAATCTGCAAATAGCAAAAGGCACCACTTAAGGTTCTGTTTCATACATCTACCAAGTTTTGTTGAAATATACTGAACGGTTCTTGAGTTATGCTCCGGAAACGAAGCCTACCCTTCTTTAAGACTAAGTCCAAAACGTTTCCATGGAAACCGAGAAAAATAAAAATGACAATAATCTGTAAATAGCAAAAGGCACCACCTTAGGTTATGTTTGACATATCTACCAATTTTGGTTGAAAAATATCGAACGGTCTTTGAGTTATGCTCCGGAAACAAAATGATTACGGACGGACGGACGGACGGACAGAGGGACGAGGCGACGACTATATCCCACCGCATTACATGCCGGTGGGATAAAAAGGAAACTTCTTGTTATCAAATCACACACACATTAGAATCTGATCTTGCAGTTTCATTATAACCCTCCCAAACTTGGGGAGGGGTAGCCTAGTGGTTAAAGCGTTGGTTCGTCACGCCGAAGACCCGGGTTCGATTCCCCACATGGGCACAATGTGTTAAGCCCATTTCTGGTGTCCCCCGCCGTGATATTGCTGGAATATTGCTAAAAGCGGCGTAAAACTAAACTCAGTCAGTCAGTCAGTCAGTGTAATGAAGGGGAGGAAACTCCTTCAGACAGGATCGGTATTTATGAATACTGCTTTACAACAGGAAATGTAAAGACATGAACCCATGTGGTCCAAGCACTGTCAATTCTACTCCCTTTTTATGGTGTCTGAAATAAGTGATTAGGGATTGAAATGAAAAATATTTAGAAACTAGATAATGCAAAGGGTAAACCCGGGATTCTGCAGCAATCTTGTGAATTATGCAAAGCCTGATTGGGCTTCTCACTGAAATCATTTTTAGTGTTCTGTTGCTACTTGTTTTAAAAGACCTCATCCCTGCTCTCTGTGGTACCTCAAAATCTTGTATTCAAGAAATAGTTTGCTCTAGCCCCATGTACAGTGTAATAAAGTAGTTTTAACTTTATTAATATAATAGTTCAGGACAAAGACTGTACTTTATTTCAGTGAGTGAGTTTATATTTAAGCCGCACTTTCCAGCTATATGGCGGTGGTCTGTAAATAATCGAGTCTGGACCAGACAATCCAGTGATCAACAGCATGAGCATCGACCTGCGGAATTGGGAACCGATGACGTGTCAACCAAGCCAGCAAGCCTGACCACCCGATCCTGTTAGTCGCCTCTTACGACAAGCATGGGTTACTGAAGGTTCATTCTAACCAGGACCTTCACGGGTTTCACTGCTCGTGGGGTTAGTTTAGACTATTTCTTTTTAAAGATGCCAAATTTACTATTTACAGATGAATGCACAAAACAAAAAACAATATGACTTGTAATGTGAGTGAGAGTTGAGTGATATAACTGGAAAGTGAAGCCTGAGTCAGCGGAATGTTGGAGTAGATGCTGGAAGTGATGCAGGTCTCGGACCACGCTCTGTGCACGCATGTTGCTGACAAACCTACAAAGAGACCTTGCCACTTAAACAATCATGAAATATTGTTATTAATGTTTAACAAAGATACCTGCATATATATTTCATAACGTGTCCTAATAATTAAAAACAATCCATTCCAGCTTTATTGTATGCTTATTCCTGTTCTTCATTGACAAAATGACTTTTCTTTAATTTTTAAGTACGAGCACACATGCAGCTATGTTCATTAATAATTATTTAGTTCAGGATTTCCTATTTCTTGACTGTAGCTCTTATTCATCCTAGGCCCATAGTGGTATTTAAAAGAAAGCAAATGATATAACCGTTGTCTTGGTGGCAGGGCTGATCTGCAGGAAGTTCTGGGCATTCAGAGAAGTGTTGGGTTGAACATATCGGTGGACTGTGTACTCAGTTCGGTTGTAACTGGAGATCACCTATGTGACAAGTGTCAAGAGTCTACACGTTTCCCCAGATCCGTGATTCAAATGTTTGCATTTTGTGGTCAGAAGTTGTTTCATGCACTCGATAAATATGAATAATCCATGAAGTTGGCAGTTGTCTAAGCTGGGATGAATCTCCTAGCGCACAATTATTCACTCTCAAACAATACTTCCCACCAAGTACCAGCTAGTTTGGCATTACTATTCACTTAGTCCAAAGACAACCTCTAGTTTCATGGATACAGCATCTGCCTCGATAATGGGATTGCAGCTTTTGACAGTCATACCAAAATGGACGGTACTCTTGACCTTCAGCACGTGTTTGCTATCTGTGGTATGTTATCTCAGTTGTCAAGCAGCATTAACCTGTCAAGTCCAGGCTATCACTCATGTGCATGCACACATATGAAATGATCTCCAGGACCTCAAATCACTTGCTGATGTATTAACTTTTTTGTAGGAGATACCTTCAAACCTGCCATAATGTATTCATATCCACTTGTTCCATAAAATAATACCTCGCACAAAAAACTGCCGACTAGCATTTATGTCCATTCCAGAGAGCCTATGTTTCACAAGCACATGCTGATTATTCACTGGAAGATCCCAGTGTTCAGATACCATGCAGCAACATACCAGGTCAGGCTGGTCAGACTTGCAGACATCATTGTATCCTAATTGCCTAGATCACTGCTCATGGTGTCCCAATTTTGTCAAGACCATCATATAAATGGAGTATGTCTGGTTAAATAAAATACAAAAAGAAAGTATTCCCTGGACATGTTTTATTCTTGTTTGTACAACTGCATTTACTCTTTGTCCGACTTTCCTGTGAGCTGCTTTGTACCACGAAGACGACCGGTACGTCTGGCAGCGATAAGACCGACCTAGAAGAGGAATACAAGACTTCAACAACAACAACAAAAAGTCCTCCTCTAAACATTACTGTTTTCTCATACTTCATTACAAATATTTACAATGTTGTAACTTTGAATTTTTCAAAGCTTCCTACAACCTAACAGAAGTTCAGTGTGAACATGGATTTAGCATGTGAATAGGTTACAAAAAGAACTATTTGTATTATCAGAAAACAAGCATACATTCTACAAACTCGATGAAAGACTAAATAACACCAGCCTACCTTTCTACCAGCAGAGGTGTCCCTCCTGACGGTCGAAGCCTTTCCAATATGTTGATGGTTACCACCACCGTGGGGATGCTCAACGGGCTGAAAAACAACATGGACCGTGAGGCACGAACATACTTCAGAGACACCGGAGGAGCAAACAAATATCAACAGTGAATCTGTCACTTTTGGTGCCTGAAACTTTACATCCGTGTGTAAAGCACTATTCCAGTGAGATCACAGCAAGGGGCATGTCACGTCACAGCAAGGGGCATGTCACGTCACAGCAAGGGGCATGTCACACGTCACATCAAGGGGCATGTCACGTCACAGCAAGGGACATGTCACGTCTCACAGCAAGGGGCATGTCACGTCTCACAGCAAGGGGCATGTCACGTCTCACAGCAAGGGGCATGTCACGTCACAGCAAGGGGCATGTCACGTCACAGCAAGGGGCATGTCACATCACAGAAAGGGGCATGTCACACGTCACATCAAGGGGCATGTCACGTCACAGCAAGGGACATGTCACGTCTCACAGCAAGGGGCATGTCACGTCTCACAGCAAGGGGCATGTCACGTCTCACAGCAAGGGGCATGTCACGTCTCACAGCAAGGGACATGTCACGTCAGAGCAAGGGGCATGTCACGTCACAGCCAGGCACTAAGAAGCATGTGTAAGGTATCAAAGCCCAGTTAGTCAGGACAACCCTTAACCATAAGCCTCCACAGTCATATGAGTCTGCCCCTCATTCATATCTATCATTGTGACTGTGTAGTCGGGGACAGCAAAACACAACACCAAACAGTAACTGACAACTGTTTTCAATCCAAACCTATGGGACACATATTTATGGATTCTTGAAGTGTAAAGATGGAATATTAGATAAATAATTGATTATACTATATTTGGTTAGAGATACTGAACACAAATGTTTCCAATCGCATCAGCAGAAGAAAGTTGGGTGCTATACTCACGTTCATGGCAACACCTCTGACTTTAGGCCAGCAGTTTCTCTTGGCCTTGTACTTGTGGTAGGCACGTCCAGCCTTCAGCATGGGTTTGTCAATACGACCACCACCAGCAACAATACCTACAAGTACATTTGGTGAACTTTCAGGCGTGTAAACAGTCGATGCCCAACTCGTTACACAAGATCATCAACAAGCGAAAGTCAGCTTTAGTTCTCTGTCAAGAACCTAAAGGTTGCAGATGTTTTGTTAATTTTGATAAAATATTTGAAACATCACATTGGACATGTCCACAATTCAGTCTACAAGTACACACACTTTATGTAAGATGGCTAGAGCCTTTTTCGGTTGTTTTCAATATGGATACAACTTCAACACTGCACATATACAGACATTTCAAGACACAAAATCTGAAATCGTTCAACAGTGACTTAACTCTCATACTTGAACATCGACATAAGATGGTCAAAACACTGAAATATTTTTGGGCAAGTTAGAACTGAAATTTTGAATAAGCACTGATAATCTGTCAAGCGTTTTTAAAGATGCCAAACAATGTCTTCATTACTCACCAACCATAGCCCTGTTTGTTGAGGGAATGGCTTTCTTGGAACCAGATGGAAGCTTCACACGTGTCCTGCGTGTGTCTGGGTTATGGGAGATGACTGTGGCATAGTTGCCTGAGGCACGTGCAAGCTTGCCACGGTCCCCGGTCTTCTCCTCCAGACTGCAGATGATGGTACCTTCAGGCATGGAGCCAACTGGCAGCACATTGCCAACTTGGAGGTTGGCTGAAACATGTTGGAAGCGGTCACAGATTGTTTTTTTTTGTTGTATAGGATCAGCACTACTCAATATGGCAGCTAACATATTCACCAGAATTACCCAAAATTAGTAGTGTAAAGTGTTGTTATATAACAAACTCAATGCAAATTTGTATTGCCGATAAGCCCTGGTAATGTTATAAGGTTTGTCGACATCATATCCCTAATGTTTTAGCCATGTGGCAACATAATTAAAACATTTCATCTCTACAGTGTACTATTTACATGCTGCCATCACATACTGTATTCACCTTAATTAAATCTACCCCGATCACCTACACAAAGCTATAAGAAATCTTCATAAACACATCAAATGACATGATGGTCCACGTTTTGAGTATTTTCACAGATGGCCACCAGGTATAACTGCAGCCAGGAAAATTGGAGGACAATTGGAATCAGAACAGCTCAGAGCTCAAATTCTCAACATAATTATTCAGGTCAAAGTGAAGAATTATTGTTTAGCTCATCATCGTTGTTACTGTGTCTATTTTACACACCTACTATTGCTAATGTGTGTCTCTGTGTATTCCAATGGATATAATGTCAGATATGAGGTAATATTATTTGAATATGATCAGGCCCTCAGATCATTTTTCAGATTTAGTGTAATGGCTTTTAGCAATATTCCAGCATTCCAGAAATGGGCTTCACACTTTGTCCCCATATGGGGAATCGAACCTGGGTCGTCGGCGTGACCAAAAAATGCTTTCACCACTAGGCTACCCTAGAGACACCAGAAATGGGCTTCACACGTTGTACCAATGTGGGGAATCGACAAGCGAACACTTTAACCACTTGGCTACTTGACCGCACCCCTTTCAGGTTATGAAATCAACATTTAAATCCATTAATTTAACACTAAGCAGTAAGACGTGTTCCCCTATTGGCCCTGGTATCAGGAAAACACAAGTTACCTTGACAAAGCCAAAACATTTATGTACATCATAATAATTATCTTCACATGAATTTAGACACTTCCCTTGCCTATTTGGGAAGTTTTTTACAAATGTCGGCCTCTGTGCTTGTCTCCACTAATTTCTAGTTTGTACTGATCTCTCTAATGCAGGGGTGGAAATAACTTTAAAATTGCTAGTGTACTCCGGTTCAGTGGCACATGTAAAATCACTTGCCCTGGTAATTTTTCCACTATACCGGCCGTTTTCTTGTTGATTTTTTAAATAAACAGCATAATAAGCATTGGAAAGTCAACTGGACACCGGAACAGTGTGATATACAAATTTGCTTGCCCGACAGAAAAAAACACTGGACTCGGACATCCGGCAATGGGTTATTTCCACCCCTGTAATGGGAAACAGGTGCATGGGCAAGTCTTTCCTAAACATCCTAAAATATCAGAAGAATTATCATCCATACCTCGTTGGACTCAGGACGACAGTGACTGATCATCAAATAATTCCATGTGACTGAAATACTACACCCATTTAGAAAGGGGGTTAACAGCAATCTTTACCATGTTAACAGCTCAGAGCTCAAATTCTCAACATAATTATTCAGGTCAAAGTGAAGAATGATTTTTAGCTCATCATCGATGTTACCATTTTTATCATAATAGCTATGGATAAAGTGCCGTGTTCAAGACAGTCTGTTCTGTGTTATAAAACTAATATACATATAAGCTCAGAATTTCAGAAAACAAACAATCTTGTTTGTGAAGGAGTGCTACCTTCAATACAATACTGTACACAGTGTGAGCTCGACATTAGGCCTTAAGTCATAATCTGTTATCAAATGGTATCAAAACTATCACACACAGCAGAAGTTATGTGATTATACCTCATCCTTCAGACGAGCAGCTGATTCAATACTTGACATTGTCATGTCTGTAAAAGCTTATGACTGAAACTCACCTTTCTTTCCGCAGTATACAAACTGTCCGGTATACATGCCCTCGGCAGCAATGAAGGTCTCATTCTTCATCTTGTATCTGTATGGATCACGGAATACAACTTTGCACAGGGGGGCTCCACGGCCAGGGTCATGGATGATATCCTGTTGCAAAGGAGGTAATTCGTGAGCAAGATGGACGAAACCTAAATTTTCAATTTAATATTTCACAGCCTGTTAGCCTGAGGAGGGGAAAGTCTCACCTGGTGCATGTAACATGTGAAAGACAATTAATCAACTTGGGAATATATTATCAAGTATATTTTGGGAACCTCAAGTACACACATGTGCCACTTGACAGCAATATATACTAGCCACATAAAAAAACTGCATTGACAAAATATTATCCCAGTTGATAAGTACAATAACAATGTCAAAGGTACATATCAACTTTAATGGAGGGATCATGAGACCATAACAAGTCGGGAGAATTTCAATTGAAAAGTCAATCACAATGACGTCACGAGTCCACAAGCAGGACAGGGGTCAAACAACCATGTCACAAGCTCAATAACGGCTATGTCCACCATCGGCATTGAGAACAGCAGTGCATAGACGATGCATAGAGCCTATCAAACGTGCAAGGAAGGCTTGTGGGATGTCACGCCAGATTCTCTCAAGTTCTGTTGCAAGGTCAAGGACGTTATCTGGCGGATGAGGAAGATCCATCTCGTCCCAAACATGCTCTATCGGGGAGAGATCCGGTGAATTTGCAGGCCAAGGCAGTAAGTCAACGTTGTGTTGCAAAGAAATCCATAGCAACCCTTGCCGTCAGCGAGCTTGTCGATGACGTTGTGTCAGGATAGGCCGTATGGCGGGACATCGTGGTCTGATCCCGTGATGACGTAAACGTTGTCGAACTGTGTTGGGGTGGATACGGCGCATTTCTGGGATGGTTCGGGCAGTCATCGCTGCAGTCTGACACCTGTGGCGCAGATGGGTCACCCTTATCCATCTGTCCTGTCTTGGCGTTGTTACACGTGGACGTCCAGAACGTGGCCGATCAATGACGTCATTTGTGTTCTGGTAGCGTCTCACCAGTGCAGAAATGGTGTTCCGGTGGCAGTGGAAATGTGCAGCCACTTGTCGTTGAGACATTCCCCCCACGGACCATCCCTATGGCCTCATGCCGTTGTGCAGACGTGAGCCTTGGCATGCTATGCATTTCAATAGCCATTTAATTTTTTGAACGATCGCAAGGTCAGGGGTTGAGCTTTCCAAAGTGACAGTATTGTGTGGCATTCATTTGCTGTTTCTCTTTCCGGGAATGCATGTGCAACAACGTATTGCACGTCTCAAGGACGAACCCACTGACGTAACGGAATGTGGCACGTGCATGCATGTTGGATACATGTCACTAATCTCTGAGTTTAAATCCTTATGTGTCTACAAAGGTTTGATAAATTTAGATTTTAAATTTTTGTATGCACAGTTTCTTCATGTGCCTAGTATACATTTAATCACATTGTACTTATGTTGTAACAACAACATAGCTTGAAATCTCTCACATTATTTATGATGCTTATCAATGAACCTTTGTCACCAGTGATCAGAATAGCGAACTTTGTTCTGTAACTAAACACTAAAATTGCTTCATTAGTTCACGAAATATTTGCTCAGTAGGAAGAGGTGCAATACAATTTCAATGCCTGTGTAACATATGCAACTTGCATAAATGTAAAGGACACTGATGTAAAATATTTACAAAAATATATCCCACAATTCAAATTGACACTCCAACATCTGACTTAACCCACAGTCCCCAAATGTGAGGTGGACATTTTAACTTCAAATTTGACAATACCCAAAAATATGCCATTTGAAACATCTCTCAATTTTTAATTAACTATGAAATTCCTCCATAACACAGTTCTGCAATGAAAACTAGACAAACGTACACAACCATTTTGGTGTCGGTCGTCTCCAGCTGCTGATTTAACCTCAATGTTTTGTTACTGTGTATGACATGATACTGCAGCAAGAGACAATGGCAAACCCACCTTAATGATGCCCTTGATGTAGCCATGTCTTTCAGCATAGTCAACGGCTCGAAGTTTGGCCGCCCCTTTCCTGTGTTTTGTGTGGGCCTTGAACACACTTCCTGGACCCTTTCTCTGGGAACGGATAACACGTCCCATGATGACTGCAAGAAATACAGAAGAAAAATTCATTATTGCTTTTTCTCCAGCAAGACAAATATGCTCTTCTGCCCAACCAAAGTGAAGAGTCACAATAATACAACTATACACGTTATCGATAGATAGGCAGCTTCATGATTGATCTTGAAGTCAAACGTGATGTAAAGCAATTTCAACAAACCAAATGTAAACATGTTACGATATTCACAGAAAATAACATAATGACTATAGTGACTTCACCAATTATTTAACATGTAACTACGTATCCTGTGACAAAGCATTACACAAACTGGAAGGTCTTTGAATGGCATTTAGAAGTGATAGACATAATGGAGAGTTTTGTGTTGTTTTTTATGGATATCAACTTCTTTATTATGATGAACATGACGTTTCTAAGTACAGTCAAATCCCGATGAGTCGAATGCCGGTGTCTCGAATATTATGCATAACTCGAAGTACCTGTTGGTCCCGACCATTCCCTGTTATAGTTGTCATCATTTGATTTCCGGTTACACGAATTCGTCTCATAAATACACACGATGACTCGAGAAGGAAATTTGGTCCCATGAGATTTAAACAACAGCAATCTTGTATACATAAGCCGAAGTCAGTCAATGAGAAGTTGATTGGTGTAGCAAACTGATCAAATTAACAAACCAGCGCGCGGCTCACACCTTTCCGCTTTTGACGGGTGAGTTCAAAAGACAGATTAGTGATTTTACGGAAATCACTGTCTGTGGTAATCAAACTGAACTGATAAGGTGCCCCTATTAGTGATAGGGAAATCATTAGATAAACACATGCTTAGGCGGAGGAATTAGGACTGGATCATATTTTTTTCAACCCTCATAGACATACCTATGTCTCGAATACATCGATAAGTCGAATTTATTACTTGGTCCCCAGAGTTTCGACTCATCGGGGTTTGACTGTATATCCTTACTCCTTCATCAGGTGAATGAATAATACAAGAGAGGCAGAGAGCATATATATCTACATGTAAGAACAACAAACAACTAGCAAGATGGATAACTAAATGAGGATTATGGCTCCCCAAAAATGGGTTCTTTACATTCACCTAGTGACAAAATTATAAAAGCATACAACAATCAAGTATCATATAATGTTTATATCAAACTTAAACTGACACATTTAATAGTCCCGTATAAGAAACACCATTTGTTATGAGCTTCTGGGATTCTATGCTGAAGCAAAACATCTGAAGTGTTATCAATATCAATCCATTACACTATTTTCACCCAGTTACTTTTCCTGTAAATCAGATATGTATGTTGAAGATATAATCAGACCTGGTCTCAAATACAACTTCACCCACTGACGCAAGTAATATTCAAGCACAGTTCATAGTGTACTGCTGCCAAGTGTGTACATGTGAGGTAAACAGGGATGATATCATATTAACCAGTTGAACTTCAATATCCATGATGCCATCCATAAAAATATTACTCCCAAATTACAAATCAGACTAAAGAATATTTATTTTTCTGTATAAATATAATTGATGTTCGTATATTTATTACGATTTTCGTGGATTCACACAAGATGAATATGGCTCACGTCCTCACCTATAAGGCCGTAAAGGGGTAAGAGACAGTGCCCGGATGTTAACTTTACGACATCGATGTGCTATTTGCAAACATCCGAATCCTTTGTAAAAATTTACAAATACGGCTTCTGTGAAGTTGTATACTTCATTCAATCATAAACATATTCGTGTAATAATAGCTAATGAAATATCATATAACTATTGCGACATTTCTCAAACTGGTTTTGTTACTGTGTATGACAGTACATAAAGGACACAAAACGTCGCACGAGTCACGAAACATCTTACGTTTGTACAAAAACAGCGCACAGTTTGAGATTTTGAAAGTTTGAAACTACATGCAAACTGTGCGTTAAGAAATAAAATTTTTGCTGTATTTCCCTGCTTCGTAGATTATTGTTAGATGCAGTGAATAGCACAGGGAAAAAAAAACATAGATCGATCCAAATTGTGTTTCTCCCATTGCAACTACATCTACATCTACGCTGTAATGCAACATCTAAACGATGAGCTCTGCAACCTCATGCAGATCAACGTAAAAAGTGTACTGATAGAATCTAGTGCGAAATCGTATACGCTAAAGTGAAAGGTTAGGGATCGTTCATAATTTATGGCTAGGGGGGTGATGATGATTTTAAGGGGGAGGGTTTCACCCATTTTGTTCTTGGGAGGCAGAGGGGTTCATCAATTTTGTACACATGTACTAGGGAGGTCAGCAACTATGTACATAGAAATATTAAAAAGTTATGCTTAAAAAAGTGGAAAGGGGTGGGGGTGGGGGTTCATTGATTAGTACATAACATGCAGGTCGGGGTCACTAACCTTGTACATAAATTTTAGTGGGGGTCATTCACATTGTACATGCTTCGCCATGAAAATCATCTCGGGGGCATAAATTATGAACGGTCACTTAGCTCGCTGGCTTGTAAACTTACGGGCGATTTGGTGCCTGGCTCTGAGAGTGTGCATGGGTTCGAATCGGGGATGGGACTGAACCCCCCCAAACAGCACTAGAATGTATTTCACTTGGAATCTGTATTTTACTGAGAAATTACAGTCTACGCTATATCCGACAGCTTTCTGAATGGCACTGTGCATTCAAAATAAAGGCAATTGTACATCGTTATATATACATTTTTCTTAAAAGTTGAATATTCGAATCAAATGTGATTATCGTCTCGCAGTCCCAGAACTGAAGTTTATTACACTCAGGTCGATAGCTACAAGTAAATTTCAATTCAAGTACATTGTGCAAAATGGTATGTAGATGAAAACAATATTACAGGGTTGTAAATACTTCTCCCGAGCAGTACAAAACACTTTCAGGTCCAGAACCGATATGAGGATTAATGTACGTTTATAAAATATTTTTTCCAGGTGTGAACTTTATCATGATTATTTTTCATAACCTACATATACTTTTCTTAATGTTCCTACTCAGCTATTGAATTATATACTCATTTTGTTTGTACATAATGAACTAGGTCTCGTTCATTTCGGTCTGTAAGACCAGGGATAATCTACGTTATATAGTCTCCCTGGTAAGACAGTGTTCGTGAGATTCACCAGGTCGTACCTGTTGTATGCAGTACAGCAGACATACGTTAACATATACGTTAATCTATATAGACATTATATACTATACTGCATACATACTATATGGCGAAACTCACAAGCAATGTCTCACTGACAGAAATGAACGAGACCTCTACATTACATATACATGTTGGGGGTCAATGTACTGGTATTTATGAATGAGTTGTTTTCCCTCTTTCAGTTGAAAGGCGCCTAAACAGATACTGAAATTCATTGTCTATGTCCACAATTGACAAAGTGAGCATTTGCTTTCATTTAATGGTATCCCCTGTTGTTTCAACCGGTATAGTTTGGGATGTTCTGAACGCAGAAACAAAACTCCAACTTTGAAAGCGTCGAAATAGTGATCAATTGCTTTTTCGCGGAATACAAATTTGCGCACCATTTTGGAAAGTGGATGCGGATGGTTATTATGTGTTTGAACTTCAACTTTAATGTCGGTTTGACACCATCGCGAGCGAAATTCGGACAGAAGTGGGATAAACGTTTGACATTTTGGTCACCTTAGTAGACGGCGAGTGTGCGTATAGGGAGGCGGAATTAGGGACCGTTCATAATTTATGGCCAGGTGGGGTGATGATGATTTTTATGGAGAAGCATGTACAATGTGAATGACCCCCCTAAAATTTATGTACAAAGTAAGTTAACCCTCCCACCCCACCCTGTATGTCATGTACAAAATCAATGACACCCGCCCACCCACCACCCCTTCCAATATTTTTTAAAGCATAATTTTTAAATATTTTTATGTACCCCCCCTTAAAATTATCATCACCCCCCTAGCCATAAATTATGAACGGTCCCTTAGTAATTTAGGACTATATGAAATTAAGCAGGGATCGGGAGAGGGTGTGTGATAGTGTTAATAAGGTAAGATTAGTTTTGATGCCATTATTATTAGCAGAAGCCCGAGTATGCCAATAGGGGATATATGTCTATCTATGTATTTGTCTAACTAAACAAAGGAATTCGTGGGCACATTGGACATAACTAGAAGGTACTTTAGTAGAAAGTGTAATCCCAGAACATTGAAAACGTGCAAAAGTACTTCAGCCCTTGCTAAGTCTTTGGTAATATGTCCTATCCGTAATCGAGTTCAGCCCTTACTTGAAGTCTAGATAATTTGCCCTATCGATGTAATCACACGTAAAATCTTCCTTGGAATCCTGTCGAGATATCATGCTTTCACGTTAAGACCAATTTAGAAGATGTGCTTACTTGCGATTTCGATCACACTTAAAGCAGGGATATGTACGAAAACCATACCCGGAACTCGTGGGTTACTATGCTGACCTGGCACATAGTGATGTTGTATATATAAAATATCAATCCACAAGTGACCCCTGTAGCATACACGTTGCCAGTTATAACACGTTTTGTTTGTGTTGCACAATCTGGATAATCCTGGGTACCAACACGTTCATTTCTTAAGCTTCGAATTGGAGATTACACACAGATCTCAATCAAACATTTAAATATACTTCTGTAAAATTCTCAGCAGTAAAACGTTTTCATAAACTAGAAAGTTATATACATAACTCGCAGGGAGCAGCACAGATAGCACGCTGAGTGATAGTTCGTGCATTATTTGAGTGATCATTTATCGGAGTGAATTTACATTTCCTAAACCAAAATTCACATCCCGACTTATTTCCAAACACATTTAAACCATAGAGGATTGAGTATGGTTTTACGCTGCTTTTAGCAATATTCCAGCAATATCACAGGTGGACACCAGAAATGGGCTTCACACATTGTACCCATTTTTGGGGATCGAACCCGGGTCTTTGACGTGAGGAGCGAACGCTTTGACCACTAGGCTACCCCACCGCCCACTTACATAGAACATCAAGTCGGCTAATACAGTTGACATTGTTACTATGTTATTGCACGTGTTTAGTTTAATAACAAAACATGTGACTTATTGCCAATCGCTTATGTAGTTTCATATGTGAACTTTAGGAACATCGATTGTTTCTCATTGTTGAATGGTCCAGCCTTTAAACAACTGATTTTAATGGAGTGCAAAATAACAGATTTGATGCAGATAGTAAATACTACAATATTCCATAGAGAAGGTGCCAAACATCCAGGCGGCTATCACTTCATCTGTCCCCTTAATTTAATGTCCGCTTCAATCCAGACATTGCAGGAAGAAATCCACAAGAAATCAATCCTATTCCAACTTAAAACAAAAGATAAGTGAATTGTTTTTATCATCTTTATTGCATTCAACTATAAACGTTCAAAATGCCCAGATGTAACACTTGGTCATGTAGACAACTTTGGCTTGCTCCAGAGAGAATAGGTCATGGTAATGTAGTTTGCTCACTTAACAGATATTCACCATGGAAGAGCCATTTGAAGGTAATACTAGGAGTGTGCAGTCATCACCATGAATACCCCCAATGCTGTACATTATACTCATTACACAAAACATGAACCATCTCAATATGAGTGATTTATACTTAGGCATTTGGAATATCCATGGCAATAGTTGCACACATATTATTCACTAATCGAACTTATTTTTGGAAATAAATTACATAGCATATGTATCAGAAACTATCAAAATGGTTCATATGCTTATGCTGTGAAAGACATCTGTGACTGTGCCGATACAGCACCCCTCTCATAGTAGGAATACTCTCAGGACTAAGTATCTTCACATACCCTGGAAGTGACTAGCATGTAGGCACTGTTCAAGAAGGCAATTAGCCTCTTTAATCATTACAACAAAATCTTAGTACCATCCTCTTTGAATGATGGCAAGCAATAAAAAATATGAAGGCCTTCAAAATGGCTCTATACATATCTAAGATCTAAAGTAGATGAAATAAATTGTTTTCTAATGATATCACATTTTGATATTCATGTGGACTGACCGACCTCAAGACACTTCTTGAGGACATCATAAAAATACTGCACCTCAGATCTATCAATAACAAAATGTTCATGTGAACAAACATTGAACTGTGCTTCACAACTCATTCCACAACTCTTCAATCATTCTCATATCTCTGACCTCAGGTGTCAAACCACAAACATTTTGTGCTGTTTAAAAAATCTTCAAAAACTGAACCTGTCATGCAAGTCCATTCTGACAAGTTCAGTAATTATTTTGACAAACAGATTGAAACACAAAATCTGGACTCACCAGTACAATGGAGTCAAAGAGTTTGTGTAGAATGACATACAGCACAAACATCATGGCATACGTTAAGTCGACACATCACTCCATTTTGCACGGAGGTGACCAAATGTAACATCTCGGTTAGCCAGACTTTTACACAACTAAATAAGTTTGTCAATATGAGAAAAATGCCGTCCCATATAAAAATCAACTCTCTCCTTAGTGCTTTAGAAATATGCCTCGTGGTTCTTAATTCAACCCTTTAAAACCATGAAATGGTACATGTATAATATAATAGCTGAAGTATCACAAAA